CCCCCAAACAAAAAAATAAAAAGGAAAAATAGTGGTGAAAAGATCATGGGAAACATACAAAAACACTGACTCATAAAGTAAAACAATGATGGAAAAAACTAAGAACCATCCCAATCCACTTTGAAAAAAGAGTCAAGTTTCTAGTTGTCTCAACTTTAGCTTATCAACGGTTAAATGGACGCGTAACTCAACCTCAAAAGCTAGCTAAAGAGGTGAGGATTGTCCAAGTCCATATAAGAAGACCATCCATTTCCTTCATTGTCGATGTGGGACTCAACACCCCCTCTCACTCCCAGGACTGGACATCTGGAGCATGAACAATTATGGGGGTCCAACATCGGAAAATCGGGATGGTTCCTGATTTGATACCAGGTTAAATGGACCTTGGGTCTAACTTAACCCTAAAAGCTAGCTCAAAAGGTGAGAATTGTCCAAGTCCATATAAGGAGACCACCCATCCCCTTCATCGTCGATGTGGGCCTCAACATCAACAAAGTAAACTTTGTTGTGTTCACTGCATCGATCGAACTTCACATGACATAGTCATGAATCTTATCAACTGAATAAATTCAAGAGCAAGAGGAGTATTTATCAAAAGGACAAAACAAATACTCCTAGGCTGCCTAGGAACAAAGCTTCCAGATCTTCATCTCATCTTCATGTCTGCTAGCTAAATCCTTTACAACAACTAGGCCTCATTCAAGTTATTGGTGCGTACTAACTAAATCCATTATTCTAGATAAATAACTGTAAATCCAAACACACATTAGACCACCAACTCGAAGCAGGGAAATATAATAAAATTGAACTTAGCAAAGAAGAGATACTGGAAAAAAAATCCCAAAGAAGTAGAAGAAACATAATACAATGTACATTATTATCAAGATCAAAGACACCTCCTTCAGTTCATGACCAGCTCGTCATTGCTGCGTGTTTCCCTCCTAAAAGAAAACAAAGCGAAGATCTGAAAGCACAGCTGAAAACATCATACTGTACTCGTTCTATCAATCAGCTTCTTAATTCAGCTCATTAGGAAAGTAAACTCAAACATCAAACTTCTGTGTCTTTTTGCTACTAGATCCAACTAATACACAGAAACACGTTTTAACTATATAAAAAAAAGCGATAGCTAACATAAAGACATAGATAAATATGTTTATTTTGAAATGAAAACAAAGCTCTTACGGATTTGGGGGACTACATCAAAATTTCTTTAGCAATACTAGCATCAATGGGAAAAAGTATCATTAACTGAAGAAAACATTTGTATCACTGAACTGTATAACTATTCAAAAATATTAAAGCATAACTAAATGCTAAAATTTAAATGCTTAGTTATGTTGTTATTTACTTTAATGTCAATACTGGGACAATATAAGTACAATATAATCAAATAACTATCAAAAATGAAATAACAAATAGAGCCTTGAGAGTGTGATATTAAGCCATTTTAGCACTTGGATTTCGTAATCTCTTATGAAGCATATGCTGTTTTAGTTTTCACTGAAAAGGAAGTTTCGCATGAAAATTTGTGGTGTGTTTTAACTGACCTCTAAGGAGATATTAAACTATATTTAGAACATGTTCAGTGAAGGCTTCAAAATGTAAAGGGTTATAGGATTCAGCCTAATCTATATCACCAACATGATGTGACTAAACAAGATGAAATCCTACTTTTATTAAGGTAATTCGACTCCGTTCTAAATGGTAAACAGATTCCTTGTAAACTAAGAGGACGAAGGTTCATCAAGTTCAGGTATAGATGTTAATATTGATCAATTTTCAGATAATATGCCAAAAACCAAGAAATGCAAATGAATGTGAAATTTCACCTCTTCTCTTATTCCCACAAGATGCGCTGGCAGTAGGAGTGCCATCGCCCAATGCACAACCAGGAACAACCTCCTTAAGTCCCTGATTACCGAAACACTGAAGATTTTCAAATCCACAACTAATGAGGTCTTGTCCATTTAACTCGTCCGAACCTGGTTGGAGGCAATAAACCTGATCATCACATTGTAGGTTGCAAGGGTTCATCACATAAGCTCCAGGAAGGTTAGGATTAACAAGGTTTTGATATACATCCGCACTCTCCATTGGCTTCTGATACGGAAAAGATCCAATTTCACCTTCAATCCTTCCACGAATATCCACAAGCAAGCACTTGAGCCTGGTAATTTCAGCTTCCAAGACAGATTGACCCTGTAACCTCTTCAACAGTTGCTGATTTATAGCCCTCAACCTGACTACCTCATCCTCTAATGATGCAACCCGAGCCTTATTTTTCTCACGGTACTTGCGAACTGCTTCGTTATTACTCAAAGGGCGTTTCTTTCCTATCTTATTCTCTGCAGACTCTGCAGTATCATCACTGAGGATCTTATCCTCGATTGGGGGAGGAACAACCTTGGTGTGAACATGGTAACAAGAGTGTGTGTGTGAGTTATCAGGACCAGGTGGATTGCAAGTGTGGGTATGAATACAAGCGTGCATGTCCGAGAGAATTTCATTGAAAAGCCTTTTCGTGGAACTACATTCTGGAATTTCACCAAAATTAGAACTTGACACCGTTTCTTGGTTAGAGAGTTCGAGCTCCCCGTTGTGCATTATAGATATCCAAAAGAATCTGAAGGTGAACCACAAACAATTAAGAGACCCCTAGAAATCCAGTCTTTAGGAGGACAAGACGCCAGATAGAGAAACAAGTAAGAGCACGGCAAAAAGTTGAAAACTTTAACAGCAGAAAAAGTAGGATAAATATCCAACGAAAGGAAATCTGGAAGTCTTGATAGCCGAAATTCTAACAAACAATTTAACTAAGTTCAAGATCGGATAGCTTAAACTAGCCAGCTTCTCTCCATTCTTAGCAAGCAAACTCCTACTGCTTTGGCTCAATTTATGCACACACACACACACACCCCTATATAAAATAGACCAACCCCTCTGACTTTAAAGCCTGAAGTCCCTCTTATACAACAACTTTGCGTCTGTGCCTCAATTCCACAGTAATTGCGGTCGCTATACGAATTAGCTATATATTCATTCAACTTGGTTTAGACCATTTCAAAACAGAAAATATTAAAAAATTACTACAGGAAATGAAGGTACAAGCAATGTATGCAACAAAAAGAAGAAAACCCAGAGTTTGCCACATGATAACTGAGAAGGAAAAAAAAAAATGCAAGAACACGGCAAAAAGTTGAAAACTTTAACAACAACAACAACAAGCTCAGTCAGTGGCGGATTTAGAGGGGCGGAAGGGGGTTCGCCAAAAAATTACACTGTATATATAAGGCAAAATTTGTTTTTTACCTCTATATATTAAGCTTTGAATCCCCTTGACACTGGCCAAAAGCATAACTTGGTGGTAAAGAGGGTTCAAAACTTTTGTAAGGTCATAGGTTCAATTCTCACTAGCTATAATCTTTTTCAACTTTTTTTTTGAACCCCTTAGCGGAAATTCTGCCTCCGCAGTGAAATCCCACAAGTGGGGTCTGGAGAGGGCATAGTGTCCGACCTTACCCCTACCTTTAACAACAAAAAGGTAAGATATATGTTCTTTGCAAGGAAAATTGAAACTTTGATAACTGAAACTAAGTTCCAGTAAAAAGTTTTATTAAGATCAAGATCAGATAGCTGAAACTAACCAGCAAAAAGTTTTACTTTGTTGGCATGCAGATTCCCACTGCTTATGTTGTATGCATATACAAAAAACAAAACACACACACACACACACACAGAACCCTCAGATTTTAAAGCGGTAAGTCCCTCTGCCTCCACCCTCTCTAACCAACAACAACTCCGCCTCAATCCCACACTAATTATATAAATCCTATACGTCCATTCAACTATGTTCAGACTATCTCAAAACAAGAATATAATTTTTTAAAAATCCTAAAGCAAATGTGAGTACAAGTCATGTATGCCCCAAAAACCCCAGAATTTGCCAGATGATAACATAGAAAGAAAAAATTAAAATGGCAATAATCATGAGCTAAATTATTCAGAAAAATATGTAAACAGGGTAAGTAAACATACTTACAATGGAGCACTTGTACTGGGAGTGGCGTTTCAGTTTAAAAACAGAGTTCAAGAAGAAGCTAGAGAGAAATTAAGGTCACGTCGATATTTTAAAAGTATAATGAAAATTGGGGGGTCGCTAAAAAGGGATTGCTGAGATGCAAGTCACTTTCAATGGCGGAAAAAGAATGGAGAAAGCGAAGGGGTCATATCTCATATGTGTAGATTACAAGGGAATCACAGACTACTAGGAGGAAGAAAAGAGGTAGTACTATGTCCATACTAAGAAAATCACTTACGGCAAATGTTTGTATAGATTCAATCGTTTGTTGTAGTTTAATAACATCTTTATTGTATAGTTTAACTGTATCATATGTTTATACTAGATCATCACGGGCCCAACAATTTAAATGTTATGAATCTTTTACTTATTAATTAATTTGATCCTGGTTACAATTTGATATTTTGGATTCAATTGTAAAAAAAGATAGCTTAGTGCATAAGGCATTCCATATTTACACATGGTCCGTAAAAAATATCGCATGATCATATCTAAGGGGTGTGATGTAGATAGCTAACCTAATGCAAATATTAGTGGCCGCTTCCACGATAATAGAAATAATTTTTTTATCTTTTTAATCCGAGAGCAATAAAATGAATCATAGGTTCCAATATACATTTCTATATCGCCAATGTCAATTTTTCTTTAATAAATTTTTTTATGAAAAGTGCTTAAATTAGTATTGCGAATATTTTTTTCCAGCTCATTCTTGGTTCTACGTTTCTTTGTTATAAGTTTTGTAATTTTAATTCTTTGCTCGGTATGTGTTGAACAAACTTTCAACCTTGCATATTTGCAAGGTCTATACTAATTCTTATTCATTGTCGTTCGTATGGTACTTTGAGAAGTTATTTTTTCACCATTGTAATTATTGACATAGCAGATTATTGTCTTACCATATATACCATAAATAGAATCAACCTGCATCAAACTAATTATTTCAATATATCGAGTTCACGTATCTCTGATTTCTATAATAAGTTTTGCTTTGTTGAATTATTTTTTAAGTTACAACTACTCTATTATACGTTGTTTCTTTCTTATAACATAAAAGATTTTATCCTTAAAAGTATTATTAGTAGAAGCACTTCAGTATAAAATTGTACGAAGTTACTTTTTTCCCCACCTGTATTAAGTTAACGCTATCAAGCAATTATGTTTGATTTTGCATTGCAATTATTTCAATTTAATAATATGAAGTGTATCCCAACTGCTTAGGAAAAAAAGAACTGTTGTTTTTTCTCCAGTTTGAAATTTTCTTGTCTCACGAATAAGAAGGAAAAAAAGATTCAACTATAAGGATTTAGTATTTTTTCTGTAGTAGGGGACACAAAATTTGATTCTAAGAAATTATTAACGACACGCTAATCATAATGGAATTTTGCGTCTGTCTTGAGCTAGTATATATTTGGTTTATAGTATACTCATTTTTTTACGAGCTATTTTTACCTTTTAATAACTTTCACGAATATTATGTATCTGATCATTCCATATTCCCTTTTACCCTTTAAGGCTTTTTAGTAAATTGATACAACTTTACCGGCATCAATAACCTAATTTATGAAAATTTTATATGTAATTTTTTTGTATTTTGTTCTAGTATGAGACATGATTTTTAAAGTGAAAGTGGCCCCCACGTTTTTGAAAAGCATGTGTAGAAGTGTAGAAGGATGCCATATGAAAGTTACTGTATGTGCAAAACTTCAGTGAGTATTTATAATTATAATAATTAATTAAAGTAGTACAAAATAAGAGAACACCTATACAATGTCCAATAGCTGTGTCTAAAATGCAACTCAGATGTTGGCGTGCCAGGTAAATATACAATGGGCCCGCTGTAATCATGATGAACATGGGCCTTCAAAGGGTAAGAAAGGCTGCACAATAAAAACTTAGATCTTGGATAATGGATTAGAAATAGATTTGTGTTCCAAGGTCCACTTCTCTACATGAAGAAAGTTCCTTAGAGGAGGTCATGGGACTGCATATCGGCCGGCTTGTGAGGTGTGAACCAAAAGCTTGGTTTATTCTATGCCATCTTCAGTCTCGATGATGAGATATCTAAGTTTTGAGGAAGGTGAGTTATAGTCCCTGAAATTTGCCATCTCTTCGTGCTAAAAGAAAAAGAAAAAGAAAAGAGGGGTCATCAAAGTCCGAATCAAGAATATTAGAATGGGTACAAAGGTCTAAATGGATGAAATGCTCTCCAAGAATCGGGCCATTTTGGGAGTAATCTCTCCAAGAGTTGGGCCACATTGAGAATAATCTCTCCAAGAATCGGGCCATTTTGAGAGTAATCTCTCCAAGAATCGGGCCATTTTGAGTGTAATCTCTCCAAGAATTGGGCCACATTGAGAGTAATCTCTCCAAGAATCGGGCCACTTTGAGAGTAATCTCTCCAAGAATCGGGCCATTTTGAGAGTAATCTCTCCAAGAATCGGGCCACATTGAGAGTAATCTCTCCAAGAATCGGGCCATTTTGAGAGTAATCTCTCCAAGAATCGGGCCACATTGAGAGTAATCTCTCCAAGAATCGGGCCATTTTGAGAGTAATCTCTCCAAGAATCGGGCCACATTGAGAGTAATCTCTCCAAGAATTGGGTAAGGATGAATACTCATCCCCTCACACCCCAAGGTTATCTTCTTCATGCGTGAATCATCTTGTTAAACAAGAACATATCTTTCCCGCTTGACCTACAAAGAAAAAAAAAGGGACAACAAAACAAGAAAAGCACGAGAAAAGAAGAAGAAATTACCTTCGCGTTAATGCCTCCAATCGTCAAAGAAACGAATTCAAGGGCAGCTTGAAGATGCCGAAAGCTGATTGATGCTCAAATACATGAGAATGTGGCTATTTATAGATTTCTCGAGGCAGCACATTAAGTGGCTTTGCCGATGTGGGATGACTGCCATGATCAATTCCAACAAGGAATTAAATTGCACGAATTAGTCTCCTAATCGAAGATGGTTACTGTGTGTCGGCGTGTACCCACATGCAAGTTCAAAAAGGCATTCCCAATGAAGTAAGGAAACGTATCTTAGCAAGTCTACGTGGAAAGGAATATCATCTTTGTCCAAAACTTAAAGTGAATATATAATTGCCTTATTAATGCATGTGAATGAAGAAAGAAAATTATTTCTTACACCAGAATTTTGAATTGCAAAGAAAGAGAGTCATGTGCAAATCTTTTGAAATCAATAAGCACAGCGGGCCATTTCATGTAAATTGTGGTATGACGTACTACTTCCAAATTAATAGCAAATAAAGCTATTACGCTTTTTCTTAATTTGACAATGAGTCGTTTTAAGCTACAAGTTGAAAGGGATATACATGAATTAACCCGGCAAAGCGCTTGTAAGAAGGATGATACAAATTGTTCTTGTAAATACTTCAAGTCTAGTGTTTAAAGTTTATACCTTGACAAGTCTTGAAGTAGGGGGCATTTGTGGGCATATAAATTTTGTTGAAATTAAATTCATTAAATAATTTGAACTATATTTTAAATTCAAGATATATTGGTCCAAATAAATATTATGGGCTAATATAATTGAATTAATTATTTAAGTCCGATAAATATTAACTGGGCTAGCCCATTTAATTGGGCTACAAATGATGAGCCCATCTCATTAGGCCCAAGAAGTCATCTTCCTAGAGGCCCAATGCCACGCGTCAAATGACGTGGCACGCCAAGTCAAACGAAAGAGCCAATAAGATCGTGCCATGTGTCAAAATGACAAAGCATGCCCAGTCACACTAAAAGGCCAATGAAATCACGCCACGTGTGCAAGTGACATGTTCTTTCTAATCAAATGCGGCCATGTCACATTTCAATTTGATTAGTCGGAAAGAGTTTGTTCTTATCAAAACCCCTCCTTTCCACAACTATAAATAAGGGTCTTCATAACTCAGAAAAGACACCAGAAGTTATAACAAGAAGCAAGAGAGAGCTCGTGGATCAAATGCCGCAAATTTCTCTACAAGTTTCAAGCTTCAAGCAATCAAGTTCAAGTTCAAGAAATCAAGTTCAAGCTCAAGAACGAAGAACAATTCAAGTATTCAAGATCAAGAACGAAGTCAAATCAAATACAAGGCGTTCAAGATCAAGGCTACTTGTTTGTGATAAAATTCGTGGCAGCAATCAAAGTGTTCGTAACGGATAAATCAAATTACAATTCAAGATCAAGCTCAAAGGCCCTTGAATTTATACTAGAAAAGTAGAATCAGAGGAATCATAGAGATTGTAACACTCAAATATTTGAAATAAAATACTACGATTGTTGCGATATTTTTCGGTCTTGATTTTATTTTCTCGACCCAAATTTATTGTCTACAAATTCTGACACGCCCAGTGGGACAATCTCTACCTCTCATTTCAACTTTTCAATCACCAAAGTTTAAGAACATTGAAATGGCTTTGAAGAAAATCAACTCCAGATCAACATCTACCAAGGCTGCTAACTCTAGGTTCTATGCTGATGTGGAAAGCATCCTCGATGTCACCTTTGGAAGCTTGGGACCAGTTACGAGGAGAAAAGCAAACTCTTTAGGACAACAAGCACCCCAAGTGTCGTCCGCATCAACCCCTGTTTTCTTATCTTCATCCTCAAAAGGAGCAAGATCTTCCACAAACGCATCTGAAGGAGGAAGCGATGTTGCTGAAAAGATCAAGAAAACTCTTGCTCTGCTTGACCTCTCCGGATCCAAGCACTCTACTGTGAAGGAAGATGATGATGCTTCAAGAGATGGATCCTCCCCACTTACACCACATATCGTGAGCCAGTCAAGGATCAATCTGTGTGAAAATCCATGCTACTCTCCGTCATCCACGACAATCATGCAAGCCATGGTGACAAACATTTCATCTATGGAGGAGCAGTTGGCAAACTTGACGGAAGCAATCGCTGGCTTGACCAAATGCATGCAAAATCAAGAGGCTAGAATTGACAAGCTAACAGACAGGGTGGGAATCTTGATGGAAGAAGAATCTACCCATGCACCCGGTAAGCTCCCAAAAGTTCTAGAGAGTGACTCTCCCCCAAGACAAGCAGCATCCACTAAGGCTATCCCTGTCTCATCTGAAGGGATGATTCCAATCGATCAACTGAAGGAGTTCATCGAAGGAACCATTAAGAACAAATATGAAGTTGCTGCCAAATCCTCCATTACATGTGCAAAGCCGTACACTGCAAGGGTCGATATGTTGAAGATGCTTGCTGGCTATCAACCTCCGAAGTTTCAATAGTTTGATGGTAAAGGTAACCTAAAGCAACATATTGCGCACTTCGTTGAGACGTGCAACAATGCTGGGACTTATAGAGATTACTTCATCAAGCAATTTGTCCACTCGCTAAAAGGAAATGCTTTTGACTGGTACACGGACCTTGAGGCTAGATCTATCGACAACTAGGATCAACTAGAGCAATAGTTCCTCAATCGCTTTTATAGCACAATACGCACGGTGAGTATGATAGAGCTTACAAATACTCGTCAACGAAAGGGGGAACCAGTTATCGACTTTATCAATCATTGGAGGAATGCAAGCCTCAACTGCAAAGACAGGCTTAGTGAAGCTTCAGGCATAGAGATGTGCATCCAAGGCATGCATTGGGGATTGCGCTACATCTTGCAAGGTATCAAGCCTAGCACATTTGAAGAACTTGCAACTCGTGCCCATGACATGGAATTGAGCATGGCTTCCGCTGGAAATGAAAGGCTACCCATCTATGAACCTCGCAAAGTGAATGACAAGCAAGAAGTCAGGAAGTGGGGCAAGTTCGTACCCAAGTCTGAAAGCAAAGAAGCTATGAATGTCAATACGTCACCTATGAAGTTCACGACGAAGGTGAGCAAGAAGCAGAGTATGAAATCCACTTCTTTTCAAGACAAGCCAAGTGGAAAGTTGACTCTAAAAGAAATGCAGGAAAAAGAGTACCCATTCCTGGATTCTGATGTGCCAGCCATTTTCGAAGAACTCCTCGAGTTAAATCTCATTGAGCTTCCGGAGATGAAGCGACCAAATGAAGCTGGGAAAACAAATGACCCAAACTACTGCAAATATCACCGACTTGTAAGCCACCCTCTGGAGAAGTGCTTTGTCTTCAAGGATAAAGTCATGGATTTGGCTCGCGAAAAGAAGATCGTGCTTGAAGATGAGAAAGCAAGCGCAAACCAAGTCTCTATCACCTTTGGCTCATTCAGTCCGGATGACTTATGTGGTTTTAAAGAAAGTAAAGATGAAGAATTACTGGAGAGCGACAAAGCTGAAGTCAATCAACCTGATGACGATGAAGGTTGGACATTGGTGACTCGTCGTAGGCACCACAAAAGGAGCCCACGAAAAGAATCAATAGAACAACCAACAAGGAAGATGATGGTAAAAAGACCAACGAAAAAGAATCCAGTTAGGCATTTGAAGAAAGCAAAAGTGGAGATGCACCATCCTCAAAAGCCACGAAATCCAGTGACCTTGGAGGAGTTTTTACCAAGTTGGTTCCGCACGAAGATTTCCCATGAGGGCATTGATGCCTCTTGTTGCCATGCTGACAAAGGGGAAGAAAAGAGTGATGACCTACCGTTGGCACCACCTTCGGAAAAGCCCATCGAGTCCACTCCTCAAGAAGTTAATGCTTGTGAGGAAAAGGTCACGTTCACAAATGACGATCTTTTGCTAGGTGACACTCCTCATAACCGCCCATTGTACCTGGTTGGCTATATGCGCGATGAAAGGGTAAATCGGATTTTGGTTGATGGAGGATCCTCAGTGAACATTTTGCCAATCCATACTGTGAAAGAACTTGGTATTCCCATGAACGAACTCTCAGAAAGTCGTGTGATGATCCAAGGATTCAACCAAGGGGGGCAAAGAGCCATAGGCGCGATCAGGCTGGGAATCACTATTGAAGATATGCAATCAAGTGCATGGCTGCATGTGATCGACGCGAAGACTTCATACAATGTTTTGCTTGGGAGGCCTTGGATACATGAGAATAAAGTTGTTCCATCTACCTACCATCAATGTTTAAAATACTACGAGGGTGAAGTCGAGAAGACGGTAGTTGCTGATGATGAGCCATTCACCGAGGCTGAGTCACACTTTGCCGATGCAAAGTTCTACTTGAAGAACCGCATTGTGAAGGAGCTGAAAGTTGATGATGGTACGAAAAGCAAGAATGACGAACCCATAACTAAAAGAGCTGATGTGACTATTGGTAAAGCCAAAACTGTTACTGAGGAGGTACCCGCCAACGTGAATAAATCTCATAAAGGGGGTATTGCGTCTTATGGAAAGAAAGTAAGTCCCGCGCTCCAATATGTCCCTAAAAGGAAGAAAGACGAGGGCGAATCATATAATCTCCAAACCAAGATGCTAAGGGAGTTAACTCTTCCGGTAAAACGAATTGAGGCAGTAAAGTTGTCCTCAAAGTCGCTTGCAGGGTTTGTAGCCCAAAATCGTTTGCAGAATGTGGCACTCCCTACAAAGCGAACAGATGAAGGTTTTGATCCTAACGCTTACAAGCTATTTGCAAAAGCTGGATACAATCCCAATGAGCCGTCAAAGTTAGGGAAGCTCCCATCAGAAGCTGCAACGAGGCAACCACGTGAAGGTCTGGGATACAAGCAACCGTCACCAGTGCGCATCTCAATAAGAAGGGCGAGTAGCAATTATATCAGTGTAGAAGACGAATCTGCCGCTTCTAACAGGCCTTCTGTCTTTGATCGGCTTGGAAAATCAACTGTGAGAACTTCTGTATTTGAGAGATTGGGTCCATTAAAGAAGGGGAATAAGTTCCAGAGAAATCATCGAAATACAAGAACACCCGCTTCACCCAAAATTCAGGAGATCTCTAAGGATTTCCAAAGTTTGGTT